CAAGTACCTCGTATACAGCAAAGGAGGCCCAGATGGAAGCTATTACTACCGTTACCGGCCACCATTTCACACAGGTGAGTTCTGTCAAGGCCAAAGCGACACCGTTTTAGAGAGCGCTTATTAGAGAACCAGGGCAGTGAGCACAGCAAGGAGGTCCCGGTGACTTCTGTGTCATCAGTCTCGGGGTGTTCATGGCACTGCCCAGCTCAGGAAGCGCGACCTGAGCTTCGCCCTCATGTCAAACGCCCAGGGATGCGCGTGTCCCAGGAGGGCAGCGTGTTCCAGCACCCAGTTCTCACCCGGCCGCTGGCTGACCAGCTGGGCGGGGCGTGCCCTCGGCTCTAATGCAGACCGGGCTGGCTTTCGGCCAGTGGAGCTGGCCCAGCTACACTTAGAGAAACCGATAGGTTCAAATAGGTTTGAAAATGGCACGGATAACGATTAGGACCCCTTATGTTTACTAGCACATCCAATCTAAATTACCTTGTAGATCGAAGCAATTCCAGCCCTCTGTAAACTGCTTCGTCAATGACCTGTGCCTGCTCTATGGGTCTCAGCATCAGGCAGCGCCCTGATCGAAGAGGGCAGCTACAGAGCAAAGCACCCACCCCCGTCCCACGGCACCTCTGCCTGGAAGGACTGCCAGAGGGGATCCGGGGATCCCGGGGAAGACAGGGGCGGGCGGGGTGGTGAGTCCCCAGGGAACCAGTCCTCGGTGACTAGCTGTATCTCCTGGTGACGGCAGCCGTGTAGTGAATGACAAGCCCGCTCAGGTATCGCCTTCATCTTCAGACATCACATTAGTTAGGACGGGAGGTCACCACGCAGGAAAACTGTCAGCGCAGCAGGACCAGAGGTTTCGCAGACAGGAGGAGGGGGGATGGCACTCGAGCTCCCCGCTCCCCGGAGCCTGGCCTTCCCCTGGGCCTGGCTGGCCAGCCATGTTGTCACGGGAGACCGAGCAGCCTGCTAAGACCTCACACCTCTGAGCTGCCTCTTATTCTAAAACCTTCAGGGCAAAAGCAGCTCTGCTCTTTGCCCCTAATGCGCAGGAACCGAGGAAAAAATAAAACAAGGAACACAAAGGGCATCTTCCCCACTTCTTCGTTTTGTTCGTTCATTCAACAAGTATGTATCCAATGGCCCAGGCAATGTTCTAGGCACGCGCTGGTCACTGAGGCCGCCAGGGCCCAACCTCAGCAGAGGTAGATACTGGCAGGACAGACAGACATGCGGCAGGCAAGTACGTGCTTGAAGAGAGTCACAGAGGTGGTCTGGGAGCAGTGAGGGCAGTGGGCACAACCTCGGAGGCCTTCATGGTGGAAGTGGCATCTAGCTTAAAGCTTAACGGAAATGTAGGGCATAGCATCTGCCCGGTTATAAAAGGCAGCAGGTATGTTTGGGGATGAAGTTCCTGTGACTGCAGCACTGAGGGGAAGGAGGTTGGGAAATCCAACAGGATTTCAGGGGCAGGAGACAGGAATGCTACCACGATGGTTCTGAGGAAGGAGAGAAGTGAGCAGCATGGATGCCATGTACATGCGTTTCAAATCCATGATTTAAAGGTGATTTTCCACTGGTATACTAAGAAGAGCCCTATAAACTAAGATAAATCTAGATGTCCCAAGAGAATCCTGTAAATGATTTTTAAAAGCTGAATAATCAGTAAACCATTATTAAATTTCTATTGTATGTATTACTTGCAATTACTTGTATGTTACTTGCAAGTCATAGAGAAGATACTTCTTTTTACATAGTCCCCACCCCCAAAACATAAATCCCCGTGGTTTTAAACAGCTAACGCTATACCGCTCAGCAATGAGAAGCTTCCCTTTATCCCATTCTCAACGGTCCCTGTCACACTGCTCTAATCACAGTGTTATTAATGACACGCCTCTTCTCCCCCCTTCCCCCCCCCCCCCCGTTTCCTGTGACGGACCCCTCTCCCAAGGTGCCAGAGGTCTGGGGAGACAGCGGTGGATTGGGTGCTTCTATTTCCATGCTATTGAAGCTTCTGGAAGTCAGGGAGGTTGCAAAGGGCCACACAGCTCCAGCACGCCCTCAGGCTTCCCACCAGGACTGCAATTCACTGAGATATAGCTCTCTTTTCTGCCATAATTGCTGGGGGTTTTTTTTGGGGGGGGATGATTTTCAATGGCAAATATAATTACATTTTAATTGTGATGACCTTGCTCATACTATTGAAATAAAAGTATTTTAATAAAGTGGGAGTAGAGAGTAACAACAAGCAAAGTAGCACTGGATGGGCACTTTACACAGGCGAATCATCCTGTATAATAAAACCCTAATATGCAAATCAATTGAACAGCAGAATGACCGGTCACTATGATGTGTACTGACCAGTAGGGGGTCATTCTACGCAGTACTGGCCACTAGGAGGCAGACACTCAATGCAGGAGCTGCCCCCGGTGGTCAGCCAGAAGCCGGGTTCACAGCTGGTGAGCGCAGGGGCGGGATCCTCTCTCACCTCCTCACCGACAGCGCTAAGGGCCCCTTGGGGGTCCCAGACTGTGAGAGGGCGAGGACTGGGCTGAGGACCTCCCCCCCGCAACACACACACACACAGTGCAAATATGTCGAGCACCAGGCTTCTAGTATCTCACTAAGGCAGCTGTGCAGTGGGAGGGCTGCTGCGCAGGGGTCCGGATAAAAGGGACCCTCGATGGTGAAAGCCGTTGTGGCGTGTGCGAGGCTGGGCTGCACTGGGAGGAGAACTCCAGACAAAGGGCTTCACTTACTAATGTCTCTGCCGCGGAGCCTCCTAAGACGTACAGGAAAGGAAGGCTGCCCAACGCGCAGGCACCTGCTCATGAGGTCATCCCTTCCCAAAATACCGAAGTCCCCGAAATAGCAGCAGCAGGAAGCTCTGGAAGAGGCAGATTACACGAGCTGGTTCCCAGGGCTGGACCACAGAGCCAGGAGGGTCTGTCCTCCCCGCCCCGGGCCGCAGGGCTTCCTGAGCGGCCGGCAGGGCAGGTGGCAGAGGTCCCGCTTCCCCGTCACATGGGCCAAAGAACCAAGGCAAACACCGCCGTGGCCGGAGGGGTGCGGGCCGGGAACCGAACCTGCGCCCAGAGGCCTCTCCTGTTCAAAGGCCCAGAGGCCTCTCCTGTTCCCACCGGCCTCGGAAACTGGCCTCCGCCGAGTTTCCTGCCCGTTTTATGAAGGAAACGTAAAATGAAACGCTACGTGCTTTCTTTTTCAGCAGGAAGACCATTCGCACGTCCCAGATCCCTAATTTGCTGGTTTCGCAGGAATGCAACCCCGGGCGGGTACACACGCAAAGATGAAACGTGGATCTCCGCCGTGGGGGACGGCCGAGGTCACTTCTGCCCCAGTTCCTACGTGACGGCGGGCTGAGGACCAAGTCATTTAGCTCACAGTCAGGTGCAATAAAATCAGTGGAAAACATAAACGGGAAAGCATGCCAAAAACGTAACCATGGCAACGCCACAGATGCATCCAGAAATGGTGTGCTCCATTCCCCATTTCTTAAATTGGAATCTAAGCAGGGGGAAGATTGCACGGAGAACAATCGTGATTCTGCAATTTCCGAATTCTGCAAAACTGCGTCCAATCTGCTGTGCTAGAACCTCAGCAGCAGCCGCGCTCCAACCACAAGCCCCGATGGCCTAAGAGATGCCACTTCGCAGGTACTTGATCTGCCCGACTCTGTTTCCTCATCTGTAAAATGGGTACAAAACCCCAGCCTCAAAAGGTTATTCTGAGAGTAAGACTGGACAGTATCTCAGAGGCAGGGCAGTGGTGGATCAGGAGACCAGAGGCCCTGGTCACCCATAAACCTATTTCTGTTGGTTTACCTTAGTGCCTTGGTTTCTTGATATATAAAAACAGAATGACAACCCGTGATTAACACCAGAAATTATTACTAATCCAAGTGTAAGGAATTATTAGGGCGTCATTCAGATTCCAGTTTCAATTCCAATGCTGAAAGCCCTAGAGACTGAGGGCCAGAAGTCCCATGGGCACCTTAGGACCACACCCTCTCTGTCTGGAGCTCTGCCTGGCAGCGGGGAGAGGCCACTGGGGGACCAACCCAGGTTCCTGGAAGTCAAGCTCTTTTTCTCCTGGAGCCTTGGTTTTACTAAGAAGTAACATGGGGGCCGGGGGCGGGGGACTGTTCTAGAAGCTGCTCTCTAAGGGTCCCGGTCAGATTGACGGCCTGCATTCTTGTGGGGCGATGGCACGCCTCCGATAAGGTTACGTGTATTAGGGAACGTTCACAACGCTCACACGTTACCTGTGAAATATAACTTACTAAAGAAAGCCATTTATAGCAAACTAATCAAACAATACGCAGGTACCTTGAACTTCAATTTGTTTTTCCTTTCTTTCCCTGATTAAAATACAGTGTTTCTAAAAAGGCATTTCCAACTGTGAAGTATGGGGTACCAGAGAGGAGCCAGGAAAACCTCCCAGCAATAAAGCCAGAAATCAGACAGTCACCTGTCTTCTGGGACCCCTGCCTCGGGACCCGGCCACAGGGGGTGCAGGTTGGTAGTGTCTGGGACCTTGCAGGACCCCTCAGCTGCCAATCGCCTGTCACAGCCGCCCCCATCAGTGGCCATTCTGAAGGCCTCTGGCCTGGTCCCCGCCATTGATACAGCCACAGTTAGCATTTACAGAGGCTGATGCTCTGCCATGCGACACGGACCTGGTACCTCATCCCACTCCCTCCTCAGCACAGGGCTCTGAGTATTTGTGTGAGTGGCAGGTCCTTCTCACGGATGAGAACACTGACCCTACAGCGGCAGATCAATGGCCGGCATTGGGAGCTGGAGAGCTCTGGGCAGAGCCAGTGCCTGAACGCCAAGAAATCACCCCGCCCTGTGCCGTGCTGTGTGACCCACTGCTCCCAGTGGTTCCCGGGACCTCGGAGCCACTGGGCCAGCCGCTCTCCTCTCCCCCTGACTCCCCACCCAGCCGCCCGGGGCGCGGCGCCCGCCCCGGCTACTCACAAGGCACAGCGTGGCGGTACAGGTTGTCCCTGATGGTCTGCTGCAGCTCGTGGTCGGGGGAGCCCTTCTGGAAGCGCTGGCTAAGGAAGTGCCGCAGGTCCTTGCTCAGCTTTCCTCCTGTGGGAACGTGTAAACAGACAGAGCCCATCAGCCACAGCCTCCGAGCAGCACGGGGACCGCGGGAGGCCCCCCGCACCCCTCATCACCCGCAGGGCGTCCTCCCCGAGGGTGAAGGCAAGCGAGGATGCAACGAGGACAAAACAGCACTGATGTGGGGGTCCCCTTTCACATCATACCAGAAGGCTAAAACAATGAAGACTATAAACTGGGCCATTGCAGCCAAAACATGCAGCCTAGACATTAGCAAAATCCATGAGAGAGGATGCCGAGAACAAAGCCTTCAGGAGGACAACCTCGCAGGAGCTGACCAATTACAAAATGATCTTGGGCCAGGGGTCCAACCGGTGGAACTGAGCCCTGTCGGATATACCTGCAAAGTCTGCTGACATCTCTACTGGTATTTATCGCACAGCGTTTACAATGGCAAAACAATAAATAAATAAAAACTTAGAAACAACCCCCCGGGATCAACTAAGTAAAGCAGAGTTCATCCAAACAGCGGCCCTGTGTGGAAGCCGGGTCTGCGTGTGGGGACACTGTGGGGACACGTGGGGCAGAACACGCTGTCTGATCCCTCCCGGGAAGAAGACAAGGGAGAAAAGGAGACGCCATGGGTGAATGGAGGGAATCATGCGGACGTTCTTTTCATAGTTTCCTTTAGGAAGAAGGTCTTGAATGTGGGAACTAAAGGAGAAATAGCTCTTTATATAGACAGGTGGAAACAGAGAGATCTCACGCCCCTGTGTTGATTTGCAAACTCTAGATACATATTTCTTTTTTATCTTTGTTGTTGTTTAAGCAATAGTTAACTGTGAGGTGCTATGTGTTTGCTTCTTTGTAATTCTCTATACGTAACAGAACAAAAACAAAGCTAAAAATATATGTGTTCTTATAAATATGTGCCACAGGAAAAAAAAAAGTTAACAGTTTTTCAAAATAATAAACACAAATTACAGTCCACAGGAGCCACAGAAGGCCTGCTTATCAGCCTAGGGAACATTGGTTCTTAATGGAGAAAGATGCGACAGTGACAGCTAAAAACAACAAGGCTCGATTGCTCTTCCGTTCTTAGAGAAGATAAAAAGCAGGTAAGAGCATTTCTAGCCTCAGAGAAACAATGCAGCCACTCAGCACCCGTGTGACCACAGCAGTCATGTCTCGGATGGAAACTTCCCAGGGCCAAGAAGAGGAGGCCATGCGGGTGACAGGAGTGGTCAGGGTGATATGTCCTGCCAGGCAGGCAACTACTGATCTAAAGCCCCATGTCACGTTCAGAACAAGGTTCCCTGCTACAGATTATCATTTTAGAATGTTCTAACAACCAAACTGAACGATTTTATTTGAGTTGTATTTTACCTACAGTTTCAAGTGGCCAAAAAGAAAATACATATATTCAAGTCAATCTTAGGTCATACAATAAACATACAATTACTCATCAAATATTTACTGAATGAAGAAGACAAATCCCCACCCACTTGCCCCTAAAATGGGCACAGGGTTTGATCAGACAGAAGCATATATATGACTGGCCATCAAGTACATGAAAAGGTATTCAATAACATTCATTATCAGAGAAAGGCAAATTAAAACCACAATAAGGACCTACTCCATACACATTATGACAAAAATTAAAGACTAACCATCTCAAGTGTTAGCACGATTGTGTAGAAAATGGTTCCTTCTCTTGGGCAAACAATTTAGCAGTGTATTATTACGCTAAACCTTCACTGACCAAACATTTCCACTCTGACTTATGCAAGCAAATGAAAACAACCCTCCCCTGCCCCCATACACACACACACACTTGTAGGTAAATCTTCATAACAATGTTACTCGTTATATAATAGGCCCAAATTACAAACAACCCAAATGTCCATCAGCAGGAGAATGGATAAGCGAACTGCATTATAGTCCAACAATGGGATGCTACCCCACAATTAGAAGGAGCACAGACATAATATTGATCCCTCTCAAACACACAATGCTAGGCAGAAGAAGTAGACACGAGAGAGAACATACTGAACAGTGCCGTCGTTACAGAAAGCTTTAGTAAAGGCTAACCAGATTTATAGCGCAGAAGGCAGCTACGTGGTCATCCGCGAGTAGACCCAGACCGATGGAGGGAGCCAGGGACCTCAGGCCTGTGGAGAGTAACAATGCCCCTTTCTCGGCGTTGTGACTGTGCTACAGCTACCCTTATGTAGGAGCTACCACTGGGGGAAACTGGGCGAAGGGTACAGGAAATTTCTGCACTATTTTTACAACTTCCTGGGCATCCGCAAGGATTCCAAAATAAAAGGTTTTAAAAAGGGGAAGCACAAGGTAACTTTTTGGGGGAGCTGTCCGTAAAATATATCTTGGTTATGACAGGGACATCACAGGTTTATACATTTGTCAAAACTTACAGAGCTATATCTGTAAACAAGGGTAGTGTATAGTATGCAAATTATTCTGTAATACAGCGTATTTCAAACATATGAAATAAAGACAACTATTGAATGACTATGTAATCGGCTTAGTTCCCATTAGAAACTAAAATCCCATTAGAAAATTGATCTAAAAGAAAAATAGAATAAATCTTGGCAGTTAAGACAGACAGGCCTGGGTTTAATCCTGGCTCCACCGGGTCTTAGTTGGTGAGCCCAAGGGCACTGTGAACCCCTGACCCTCACTGTTCTCATACGCGAACACAGAGCACGGACACCTCACAGCCCCACACCAGATTGCTGGGAGGATTCCTGGGACAAAGACAGAGCATGGCAAGGAGAAAGCATGGATGAGAGCTGGAAATTACCATCATGAGAATACAGCGTGGACAAGGGTTCAAGGCAAGAATGAAAGAGCCCGGATCAGTCCAAAGGTGAACTGTTACTTTTTTTTTCTTTTTTCTTTTCTTTTTTTTAATATAGCTTAACTTAAAACTCATCCCAGTGGCTTAGAAATAGTGAGAAACGAAATACAGGCCTAGGAAAACTAGATCACAGGATATTTCTCGAGTTTGTGGGGGGGACTAAAATTCTCCTTGGTCTCAATTGGCCTAGACAAGTGCACACTGGTTAACAAACATCCAGCTCATGATGGATTCCAGGCTCTGTGTGCGAGTTAAGTTCAGGAAATGAAACCATCGGGTAAATCCCGATATTTGATGATCACACCTGTCAACTCTACCTCCGGGTATAGAGCACTTCGGAATTTGACCAAAAGGATAACCATGTTAACCAGCAAAATCTCTTACCTGGAATCTATGGTTTACCTTCCCCTAGGACAGTGGTCGGCAAACTCATTAGTCAACAGAGCCAAATATCAATAGTACAGTACAAGATTGAAATTTCTTTGGAGAGCCAAATTTTTTAAACTTAAACTTCTTCTAATGCCACTTCTTCAAAATAGATTCACCCAGGCTGTGATATTTTGTGGAAGAGCCACACACAAGGGGCCAAAGAGCCACATGTGGCTTGCAAGCCGAGGTTTGCCGACCCCAGCCCTAGGAGACCAGAGTCCTAGACATAAAAAAAAAAATATTGACAGTTATCATTTGAGCCACCAAAGATGTCCATGGACCCAAATGTAAGCACAATTCCAAAGAAGATTTGGGTTACGGTATCTCTTTATCCCTTGTGGACCATAGGTTCCTATCAGTCCCTATGGAGATAAACGAGGGATTTACAGATGGGAAGGCATCAGGACATAGAGGCACTCTTGATTTGCATAAGCTTTACATTGAAACTAGCCAATCCAGTTCGTGGTCATCAAACTCAAATTCCTCTCTCCTGCGAATGTGTGAAAGGGCAGCGCTAACTATGCTGCCTGCTAACATTTACTCTGTGTTCCGTGACATTTGTAGGCAAGAAGCCTCCACCTTCACGTTACACTAAGAATACTGTACTTTTGGGCATCTAATCTCAAATTAATTGCCAATTATTTAGGAGACATGTCTATAAATCTTCTCCTAATAGCCAAGGGCAGTGAGCCAATGAAATAATATATTGAAAGACAGAGTTTGTCATAGCATCTGCACTTCCTTTGAAATTCAAGATTTGTTTTAAAAGGGAAAAGAAAACATAGGTCAGAAATACGCGGAACTTTTTCCAAGAAAAGGATTCAGATGATTTAAGATGATTTTTATAACACACACGGGCAAAAGGGGCTTAGGCAGCCCTAAATTTGCCATTCCCTTTATATTTTCATTAGAGGCTCAGTGCATGAAAATGTGTGCACTGTGGGCAGAAGGGGTCCCTCAGCTTGGCCTGTGCCCTCTTATAGTTGAGACCCATCGGGGGATGTCCACTTGCCAGCTTAGGACCACTTCCCAGGGGATCGGGCCTAAGCTGGCAGTCAGACATCCCTCTGGCAGCCTGGGAACCCTTGGGGGATGTCCAACTGAAGGCTTAGGCCCACTCTCCATGGGGATTGGGCCTAAGCCACCAGTTGGAAATTCTTAGCACTGCCAAGAGGGCAGGAGAGGCTCCTGGCCCCTCTAGTGCACTTGCAGCCATCAGCCTGGCTTGTGGCTGAGTGGAGCTTCCCCTGTGGGAGCGCACTGACCATATGCATTGAGCATATGCCCCCTGGTGGTCAGTGCACATTATAGCGACCGGTCGTTCCCAAGTCATTCTGCCATTAGGGTCAATTTATATATTACCATTTCATTATATAGGGTATTTTATCTACATATCTGGAATCTAGTCTTTTACATTTAAAACAATGTATTGCTGCTTTTTAAATTCACATTAGTTTACAAAAATTTAACCACATTGATGATGTAATTTCTATTTTTTTAAATGTTGTATATTTTATTTAAAAATATATCAAAATATATTTCTCCATAGAACATTAGGCTATCTCCTTTGTTTGTGACAACACATCCATGCTACAATGTCACTGCAATGCCTTTTTTTAAAACATATGTTAATTTTTCTCTCTCAATTCTCGACATCTGGAAATGGACAAAGACATCTTCAGCTCACTTACCTACTGGTAAATTTTCCCCTCAAATG